GTACTGTTGAAGCCTAGCTTGTAGGATCTTGAGCATGACCTTGCTAGCGTGTGATATGAGTGCAATTGTGCGATAGTTTGAACATTCCTTGGCATTGCCCTTCTTTGGGATTGGAATGTATACTGATCTTTTCCAATCCTGTGGCCACTGTTGCGTTTTCCAAATTTGCTGGCAAATTGAGTGCAGCCCCTTAACAGCAACATCTTTTAAGACTTTGAATAGCTCAGCTGGAATACCATCACCTCCACTAGCTTTGTTGTTAGTAATGCTTTCTAAGGCCCATTTAACTTCACATTCCAGGATGTCTGGCTCGAGGTCAGTGATTATACCGTCGTGGTTGTCAAGGACATCGAGGTCTTTCTTGTATAGTTCTTCTGTGTATTCTTGCCATCTTTTCCTAATCTCTTCTGCTTCTGTTAGGTCCCTACCGTTTTTGTCCTTTATCATGGCCAGCTTTGCATGGAACGCTCCCTTGATTTCTCCAATTTTCTTGATCTCTAGTCCTTCCCATTCTATTGTTTTCTTCTATTACTTTGCACTGTTCATTCAGGAAGGCCTCCTTATCTCTCCTTGCTGTTCTCTGGAAATCTGCATTCAGTTGGGTAAATCTTTCCTTTTCGCCTTTGCCTTTCGCTTTCCTTCTTTCCTCTGCTATTTGTAAAGCCTCATCAGAAAGCCACTTTGCTTTCTTGCATTTCTTTTTCTTTGGGATGGTGATGATTGCTGCCTCCTGTACAATGTCACGAACCTCCGTCCATAGTTCTTCAGGCACTCTATCTGTCAAATCCAGACCCTTGAATCTATTCTTCACTTCTACTGTATATTCATCAGGGATGTGATCTAGGTCAAACCTGAATGGCCTCATGGTTTTCCCAATTTTCTTCAATTTAAGTCTGAATTTTGCAATGAGTAACTCATGATCTGAACCACAGTCAGCTCCAGGTCTTGTTTTTACTGACTGGATAGAGCTTCTCCATCTTTGACTGCAAATTATATAGTCAATCTAATTTCGGTGTTGCTCATCTGGTGATGTCCATGTGTAGAGTCGCCTCTTAGGTTGTTGGAAAAGGGTGTTCGCTATGACCGTGTGTTCTCTTGACAAAACTCTGTTAACCTTTGTCCTGCAATGCCCAGTAGCAAACAATTCTTACTCGCATTTCCCTGCACAACTGCTTTCTGAGCAGGCGACAGGGACCAGGGCAGCAGGACTCTTCCCCGCCCTCCCCTCAGCATATCAGCTCTTGAAGGAATTCGCTGCACCACTGTTATGGGCCTTGGCCAGGGTCTCCGTAGGTTCACAGAAGTTCCCAAAGAACTGACACGAGAGATCCAGGTCTACTTATGAGGAGATCTTTAATAACCCATCAGAGGTTATCAAAGCAGATGCAGGCTAGCTTCAATCAGCATAACTAGAACAAGGCATCTTATACCCTAAATGCTGGCTGTGAGCCCAAAGAATGACTAATTAAGCTATCCCAAACACTTGGATGAGCCAGGCCATCTTGTACCTGGCTTCTGGTGGGGGGAAGAAACAACCCAGGCCTTGAAGAACACTAACGAACAAGCATGAGAATGGGGAAATTCCCCCAAGAGCAGCTTATACTGTCCTCTTCCAGGGCAACTAAGGGCAAAGATATAGTCACCTGGGTTAATACAGATCTTGAAAGCTAAGCAGGGTCAGCCCTGTTCAGTATGTGGATGGGAGACCACCAAGGAATACCAGGCTCACTAAGCCAAGCCAAACAATGGCAAGCCACCTCTAAGCGTCTCTTGCCTTGAAAACCCTACAGGATTGTCATAAGTCGGCTCTGACTTGGCAACTATATATATGTATATATGTGTGTGTGTGTGTGTGTGTGTGTATAGACATGTGTGTATAGAAAGCCCGTTTGGTGTGGTGATCGAGTGAGCAGACTCTAATCTGGGGCAACCGGGTTTGATTCCCCACTCCTCCACTTGCACCTGGCTGGATGACCTTGGGCAAGCCGTAGTTCTCATAAGAGCTGCCCTTGAAAAAGAGCAGTTTCTGTCAGAGCTCTCTCGGCCCCACCGGCCTCACAGGGTGTCTGTCTGTTGTGGGGAGGGGAAGGGAAAGGAGTTTGTAAGCCGCTCTGAGACACCTTTGGGTAGTGAAGGGCGGGGTATAAATCCAATCTCTTCTTCTTCTTCTTCTCCTCCTCCTTCTTCTCCTTCTTCTTCTCCTCCTCCTTCTTCTCCTTCTTCTTCTATGTGTATATATGGGGCTGCGGTGGCTCAGAGGTTAAGACACCGAGCTGCAGACCGGAAGGTCTGTAGTTTGGCAGTTCGAGACCCGAGTGCCGTATGACAGAGTGAGCTCCCATCTCTGGTCCCAGGTCCTGCCAACCTAGCAGTTCAAAAGCAAGAAATTGCAAGTAGATAAATAGGTACCACTTCGGTGGCAAGGTAACAGTGTTCTGTGCGCCTCAGCATTTAGTCATTTTAGCCACATGAGCACGGAGAAGTCTTTGGATAGTGCTGACTCTTCGGCTTGGAAACGGAGATGAGCACCACCCCCTAGAGTTGGATTCGACTAGCTTTCAAGCAAGAGAAACTTTTATCTTTACCTTTATATGTGTATACATATGTATGTATGGGGAGAGAGAGAGAAATTTGTTGGGGTTCATATACATTTGTGGTAGAACTGTATAATTTTTTGTAAGGACCCCCCACACACACATTAAAACCTGTGTCCACTATTCTGGTAGGAGGCAGTAATAATGCACTGGGCATCTGAAGGTAAAGGATAAGATAGTGAGAGGCAGAACTGAAGAGAAATTATATATGAGGAGTCCTGGTTTGGGATGCACCCTAACTTTTCTTTTTGTTGCAGTCAAGCAGGGAGTCAGTTCAGCCGTGCAGGAAGCATGCCTCACAAAAAGAGACCCCCCAAAATGGCCAGCAAGGTAAGAGGTCTTTGTATGATGGAAACCAGTTTTCACCCTTGCTTGTGTGCATCAGGCACCTCAGGTATCTGGAGCTGTTTTGGCACCAGGCAAGAAATGCAGTTGCTGATTCCGAATGTTGGATTTTAGATTGTGATGTTGTTGGTGGTGATGGTGATGATGAGTGCCGACAAAAGGGGAATTTTTATCTGGAATTTGTTAGGTGAAAATCTGTTGTTGGGATTGGATGGGTGTTGGCACCTAGTGTCAGTACTCCCATGCCAGTGATATGATATTTGAGGCTCGTGGTCTCTGTAGATTGAGAACAATTTCTCATACTTGATGCTTTCCTTAATCTGAAATATTTCCTGGAGACCATATTGACTCTTGCACTCCAGTTCCATACAACAGTTTCCTGTTCGTCATTAGTTTTCTGCTACTGTTTTACTTCAAAGCATCTGTGGTGGGCAACTAATTAGATAGGGGAATAGCGCTGGGCAGGAAATAGTGCTGCTTCTCTGATCTAAATTCCTACCCACCCCAAAGCTGCTGTTAGCTCTGTTGAGGGGGGAAATACGTGTACTAGTCACTTATTTCCATTGTCATGTCTGTTTTGACCTTCACAGGTCCTGTCCATACGAGGCCGTTTGGGCCGGGAGCGGGGGCGGAGCAAACGGGCGCGATCCCACATCAACATCTGGGGAGCGTATCGTCTCTGTCCCTGATCCGTCCCTTCCAGCGTTGATCCGCTCCAAAAAAGAACCACCTCCCGAGGTGGTTCTTTTCGACGGGCCGCAGCAACACTGGCCATGGGATCGCCGGCGCGTCCTTGCGCCGGCGCATCCCCGGCTCCTGGCCGAACTGCGCATGTGTGAGCATGCGCAGTTCGCCAGGCTCCCCTTTGCACCGTCGCTTTCTCCCCAGCATCTGATCGTGCCGGGGAGCGACGCGCCGCGGCTCGGGGGATCCGTGAGATCCCGCCGCGCCATCTCAACTTTGCTGCGGCTTACATTTGCCGCAGTTCGACCGTCGTTTTCCCTGCCATGTGGGGCTGCGGTGGCTCAGAGGTTAAGACACCGAGCTGCAGACCGGAAGGTCTGTAGTTTGGCAGTTCGAGACCCGAGTGCCGTATGACAGAGTGAGCTCCCATCTCTGGTCCCAGGTCCTGCCAACCTAGCAGTTCAAAAGCAAGAAATTGCAAGTAGATAAATAGGTACCACTTCAGTAACCATTAGTAGCTCTATTCAATGTGATAGCAATGCTCTTCTAACAAAGGTTCTTTTTTTTCTGTGGAGGGTGGGCTAAAATTATCATAGTCTGTCTGAGAAGATGAAGGTTGCTACAGCCCAGGGGTCATTCCGTAGAAAAAGAGGTGCAGGAGCTTATTAGCGTAACTTATTTGCATAGGCCACACCCCCTGACATTACCAGAAGTTTGTCAGAAGGCAACACCTACCACTCAGGCTCCACTGGACTTTTGGATTGCTAGCTATGGGAGGGGGAACGCGCAAATCTCCCCTCACAGAGGAGGGAGAGCTTGTACCTGAATAAACCTTGGCCTTAAAGGTACCACTGGACTGTTTTGGATTGCTATCTGGGGGGGGGGCTCTGCAACTTACCTTACTGCTTCTTGCTCCTTGTGGCCCGGGGCTGCTGCGAGCAGGGGGTGGGGCTTGTTGCAGGTGCCCGCCCCCTGGGCTCTTTACTGCCGGAGCTCCACTCCTGTGCGCTCCTGCAGGAAATGACCCCTGCTACCATCTTCTATACTTAAAGATGATGACTCAAAGAAATGTGTCTGATGTTGTTGTTCTCTCCCTGCAGTCCCCATCTGTTGTCACAGACCAGGCTTGTATCAGCCAGCGTTTTCTACAGGGCACCATCATTGCCCTAGTGATCATCATGGCGTTCAGGTGAGGGTCTGCATATTTGGCCTATTTTATTCTCACACCCAGGAGATGAGTGCTGTCCATGTGGCTCAGAGCAGGGGCAGGTCTTCTGATCTGAAGGCAAGTGGGCATGTCCTATTTGTTTGGAGCAGAGTATGCATTCTAAAATCAAGATGAAACTAGTGCTGCCTGTTAACACCACCATGCTGTTACTCCTTGTCAGTGCTCCTAGATCATATACAGTACATTTTACTAAATGCCTCTTACATTTAAGTGACATGTAGAAAATGAACATACTGGGGCAAAGCTAGATGATACATTTGGAGATCTGCGATCAGATTTCCTGTCTGGTTCTTTTATTTATTTGTTTGTTGTTTAAGGCAGCTACAATGAGGTATAGCAAAGCTGGACTGAAGGCTTAGCTTTACAAGATGTGGGAAGTGGGTTGGGTCAGGGGTCCCCGGAAGTGACTCACATCACCATTTCATGAAGCTGGGCCCTCAAAATGTTGTGATATTTGAGTATTGTCTAATCCTCTCCTCTACATTGTATATCAATGTAAATCATGTTAATCTTCCGTCTTTTCGTGCACCTGCCCAGGCCGGCCACAGTCATTTTCTTTTCTAGCTTAAAAACTCCAAAGAGGAGGGGGTACTCAGCTCATTTCTGAGCTGACACATGTGTGGGATTCCCACCCAATGAGTCATCTGCTCCGATGGCAGGCATCCCCACCCCTGTTCCATTTTCACTGCCGCAAGGATAGAGAACTTTTCTAGCACACTCCGTCTGTTCTTTGTTCTTCTGGAAAGATCTCTCCCTTTATTTTCAGGAGAGTTTCTTTGCAGGCCAGAGAGTCTGTGTTCTCCCTTGGCAGACGAGCCCAATTCCAACTAGTGTTGGATCCCCAGGCATTCGAAATAACTCCACGTTTGATTCAAAGCAAGGTTTATTTCAAAGCGATGGTTCAGACAGGAACAAGGACATTGTTAGGAATGACTACCAATACACAGGTATAGCATAATAAAGGGATTTGAACCATGTTGGGCCAATGAGGCCAGTTCCCGCTGGCGGGAATAGAACTCGTAAACGCGCACCCATTCCATGGGAACGTAACAGTTCAGTACCATCAAAACAGGTTCAGTTCACAGGGTAGATAACCATAATAAGCCGAGCGAAGCACCGACTCCCACCACCAGCTGCATGACCTTGGCCAGTTCCGCAAAATACAGAGAAGCATAATGAAGCTACAGGAACCCGGG